GAAAATGAGCCCAATATTGGGTACCAAAAGCCCAAAGGCCCATGAAGCCCAAAACTAGGCCCAACAAGCCTAAAACCTAAAATGCTACTCTATGTGGTCCAAAATACAAGACCAAAATATATTCAAACTATGCTAACAAAATTATAATAAGAATGTTCATATCAAGATAGGCCCATGTTGATACTTGGTTTGGGCCTTCCAAGCCCATAGGGCCCATTGGGCCTTGACAGGCCCAATCTTCCATGTCTAGCCCACTCCTCTTGGATCTTTGAGTGTGTCACCTCTTACATTCCCAAGTATGATTCCATCACATGTCCCCATCCCCGCGAGTCAAACCCATCCCCGTCCCCGTACCGTACTCGTTGGGTATATGATTTTCATCCCCATCCCTGTCCCCGTATACCCCGTACCCGTACTCGTACCTGTTAATTTTTTTATTTTTTATATTTTGTAAAAAAAATATAGTTTTAAATTATTTTTTATTATATTATAATTATAATTAGGTTATTAATTTCTCTATCTCATATTATAATAAATAAGCACACATAAAAAAAATTAGGTTAAAAACCTCTTTTCGTCCCTTACATTATTTAATATTTTCAATTTAGTCCCACTTTAATTTTTGGTCTCAATTTGGTCCCTAATAACTTAAATTAGTGCAATTTGGGACTTCCGTTCAAATGATTTAGACGAAGTTAACTGTTGGCCAAATTTTCGTCACAAATTTTAATTTTTCTAGTAGTGAAATATTGTTGATGTTGTGGAGGTGGAAAAAGCATAGTTGAATCTTCTACCTCTTCTTGAGATTGTTGTATTAAAACTAAAATGTTGCCTTTAACAAATTTCTTCTTCTTCTTTCTAATTCAAAGAAGCATTTTCATCAAGTTTGAGCTTTGTTTTATATACCCATTTTACTCTAATGGTGTCTTTTCCACGTGGGTAGTCTACGAGCTCCCAAGTATTATTCTTTTTATGTTATCATTTTAATTTGTTCTTCCATAGCTTCGACCCATGCTTCTTGCTTTGATGTTTCTTCATAGCAATCAGGCTCAATCATGGCCATATTGCAATTTTCATATATGTCCACCAAAGATTTTACTCGTCTTAGAGTAGACTCTGGTGAAAAATCTTGTTGATGTTGTGGAGGTGGAGAAAGCATACATGAATCTTTTGCCTCTTCTTGAGTTTTTTTTTTCATATTGTTGCACTAGAACCAAAATGTTGCCTTTAACAACTTTTTATTCTCCCCAATTTCAAGAAGCATTTTCATTAACCTCAGCACTTTGATCGATGACAAGCTTCTCTGTTTGTATGTTGTAGACTCAATAACCTTTTGATTGTGTGTTATATCCCAAGAATATTCCTCATATAGTTTTGTCTTCAAGCTTGTGCTTCTTTTGATCAAGAATATGTATATATGTAGTACGTACATATAGGTCCAAATACCCGTAAATGTTTAGCTAATGTATGTAAACTGCAATGTAAACTGATTCAACCCAAAAATTGTTAGGCAAACCTTTCTTCTTTAACATTGATCTTGTCATCTCCATGATAGTTTTGTTCTTTCTCTCTGAGACACCATTTTGTTATGGAGAATATGCAACTATAAGTTATCCCTTAATGTCTTCATCTTCACAAAACTTGTCAAACTCGTGTGAGTTGTATTCCTTGTCACTTTTAAGTACTTTTATATGTTTTCCATTATACTTTTCCACGAAATTTGTAAACTTCTTGAAGATTTTGAAAACTTCTAATTTTTCTTTAAGGAAGTAAACCCACATCATTTTAGAAAAGTCATCGATGAAAAGTTTGAAGTATTTTTTGTTGTAAAGTGATGACGTCCTTATCAATCCGTAGATGACAATGTGAATCAACTCTAGTAGGTCGTTTGCTATTCAAGCTTTTTCAGTAGAAAATGGTAGTTTATGTAGTTTTCCTAGAATACATCCTTGACAAGCTTCATTATTTTCTTTTAAACATTATATTCTTTTGATATAACAACTTCAAGGCTAAAGTGTTGAAGTGTCCAAATCTTCGATGCCATAGCCACGAATCAGTAACTTGCGCTTTCATGACAATGTTAGTAGTATATTTGTAATTTACTGAACAAACTTTGTTTCCTTTCTTGATTTTAACTTGGGATATCTCTCGCCTTTTGTTATCGTAGATAATGCATATATCCTTTAAAAATGAAGAAAATATCCTTTCCCCATCATTTGTCCAATGATCAATAGATTTTCTTTAAGATTGAGAACAAGTAAGACATTATTATTAAGTCTCATACATTTCTTAGTCTCTGCCATGACAATGTCTTTACCTTTTGACTCTACCATAAAACCATTTCCCAACTGTAATTAGACTTTGACAGAGTCATCAATTTCTTTGAAGATGCTCTAATCATTATCCATGTGATTACTACACCCGCTATCCAAGTACCATCTTCCTTTTGATTCATTGTTAGAATATCATGTAGCATAGAAAAAATGTTACTCATTATCTTACTTTTCAGTAAAATTTGTTTGTTGTTGGTTTTTGTTGCGTTAGTTTTTCTCCATGTGTCCAAATTTTTTGTAGTGTTGAGATTAAGGTTTACCACAATGTCAACAATCTTTTTTCCAAGTGACTTATCTTTTTACAGATGTCACATGGGGGATATTTTCTTTCATTGGTCTTAGAGAAACTTCTAAAAAAAATTTTATTTCTAGAAAATTTTCCACTATTTTTATTTTCTCTATATTCTTTATTCTAAGATTGTAATTTTAGTTTTGATTGAAAGGTATTTTCAAGAATATTTTTTACAAGAGAGTCCATTAGTCGTCTCACTAAAAGTGTAGGCAAATATTTTATTTGTTCAATCGCAGTTGCGATTGCATCATATTTATAGGGAATATAAATTAGAACTTTCTCAAAAAAAAATTTGTTAAGAATATTTTCAACAATCCTTTTGTCAAGAATATTTTGTTCGTAGGCTCTCATTTGACTAACTATCTTTTTTATTCTAAAATAGTAGTCTTTTATGATCTCATATTCTTTCATTTTTATTAATTCAAACTCACATTTTAGAGGATGAAGTTTAACGTTGCATACCTCGTTACTTCCTTGAAACTCTTCCTATATTGTGTTCCAAGTTTCCTTTGCACTTGTGGCACTTATTATTCTTGAAAAGATTGTGACATCAAGTGGTTGTTGGAGAACAAATAATGCCATTGAATCCTTTTGTTTGTTTTCCTTTAACTCCTTTCTCACCCCTTCCTCTAAGATGTAGTAAAAGTTGAGATGTCTTCTAAAGTAGTTAATCCATCTTCTATATTATCTCATAAATTTTGAGAGCAAAAAAATGTTTTTATTTTGATACTCCAAAAATCATAATTTTTTCCCGTAAAAAATAGGAACTAGAATACATGATGGTTGATTTGTAATAGTCATAGGTTGAGATAATATTTTAGAAATAATATAAAATTTAGTTAGATTATTTTAGTAATTAAATTTATCGATTTACACTAAATAGATGATCAAACAACTCCGATATACCACTATTAATATTTTAGAAACAGAGGAATAGTAAAAAAAACAGAGAAATGGTAGAAAACAGAATTTTTATTGAATAGAAGGTTAATTAGATATTGGAGGTGAAAGGAACAGGTTTTATTTGATGATGTACGGATTGTATTTTTCTTTGTTTGCCCACTCCGTTACATCTTCTGCATGTCCATACATATAGTCTTCTTTCGCCGCCATATATGGAACAGTTAATAATAAAAAAAATAGTTTGCATGTTTCTAAAATTTTCTATTACAATCAGATTATTATTCTAGAATCATGTATTATGAATGTTCTAAAACATTTCTAGAAATTTCTCTAAGCGTGAAGAATCTAGGAATTTACAGCATTTTTTAACACATGATAGAGCTATAACAAACCCGCCTAAGCCCAAACGTGTTAATGTTAAGCTAACATGAATTGAGAGACTATGTTTAGACCCATTATTGTTGTGAATGGCCCATCAAAAGTTTATTTCTGTTGTTACATTGAATAATCTCACTCTTTTATGTGTAAGAGGTTCATCCATTAGATTCTAGTTAATACCAGTGTAATCCTATTTCTCTCTGTACTCCAACACTATCATTCCACATATGTTAGATCATTTAAAAATGACCCCACCATTCATCATCATGAGGAATTCGCATTCTTAAACCAAAAGGGGAATGATCTACCAGTACTTCCTTCGCATGCATTTCAGCCCGGTTCAAAGTATATTTTTGGATCGAAAGAACAAATTGAATTCTTAATTAGAGAAATGAAAGTTGGACACAGTGGCTGATTACAATAGAATCATGCCATATACCTAGACACATACACGATGACCAAATAATACACTAAAATTAATTTGCTGTAATTAACTAGTTAAAAGAAAGAAAATGAACCGAAAATGCTAGTAACCAAAGTTATATGCCAATGCCCCATGTTCTCTATTATTAATGCAGTTACACGTAGGTACAAACAATGCACTAAATAGAGGAAGGGTGGGGATTCATGTTTCTTCTAGAGTCTGGAAGCCATGCATCTTTAGCAGAATGTTTGCTGGATTTGTTGAGCGAGTTCTTCGGCACTGAGTTGGCATTCAATTCCAATCTATAAAGGAGAGATTATAAAGAAACCAGAGTTATTAATGGACCATAATTGAACACGTAAATAGCATGCATACATAATCATTAATTAGCTTCCATGAAATAAATAACTTCAGAAAACGGTAGGTCCATATATTTAAAATTGCTCCCTATAAAATATATTTTTTAATTTTTCTCGCCAAATGAAAACAATGCCTGCAAGATGCCATGATACATCCCTGGCGTCTCAGACAAATGCAGAGAAAAAGGTACTGCCTGTACTGCATGCCACTGTTTATTACATATCGCAGTAGTAATGTACTTCACTGTAGAGTACTAGCCATTTTTTTACCATTATTATTACTTCATTCAATATTTTCATAATATCATCACAGTCATTATTTAAGTACTTTTTTCTATAGGTTGTAGGCTAGGATAGTAGGCTACTTTATCTGGCAAATCTTAAATCTTGAGGTTGAGACGTAATTATTACTTTATTAGAACTTAGAGCTTCAAATCCAAACCGTCTAAATCAGGATGAAGGTTTAATTAGCTAGGGACAGAAACTGTTACATCACCTTGACACTGAAATCAAAAACCTATTCTCATTGTTACTGAAAAGGACTTAAGAAAGAGACAGAATTAATTATGCTGGGAATAGGCATATTGAACCAATAATCTCAAACAAGAAAAATAATTAATCAACTAACCAAAAAAAAGTTACTTAAATTTAAGCTAACCGTTAAAAATGTAATTACTTCTTATCTGTTTTCTATGGCAATTTAAAAAATATTATTTTTTTCTAGAAAATAAAACAGCCATGCTCAAACAAACATATTTAAGGATGTGAGTCAAAAACTAATCTTTCAAAATATTTACATTTATTTCAAGAATTAATCACTTCTAATATGTAAGAGATAAAATTATTATCAACCATATATACCACACCATGTTGGTATCATCAGTGAGATAAAACCTCAAGATAACCAACTATGTGTCATTATAAAACCTGAACACATCAAATAGTAAGATCAACTATGTGTTTGAATAAAAGTTAATTTCAGTCTAATTCATGTTTACTTCAGAAGAACAGTCTTATAACTTTTGTCTTTCATGTATTGGAAGGTAGAAACACTCATTCTGAAACTTTAAAAAAGATAACCAAACACAAGAATAGTAATTACCTTGATGGTGAATGAGTTTAGCATGGTTTCATCAGCTGTGCTAATGCTCACGTGGAGGATTTCGAGTGCTAGGTCTTCAAGTGCTGATATTATTCTCATGGCCTGGCCTGGAATTGGTGGTGACACAGTCTTCAGAAGAACATGTGGACCTGAAAACTTGACCTCCACATCGGCAACAACGGATTTCGAATTTGCAACAAGCTCATTGATATTATCGTTGATTGAAGAAGAAGCAGAAGAAGTAGGAGAGTTGGTTATGGTTGGGGAAATGTAACCTTGCTGCAACCTGGGCTTGTAAGGGCTACCTGGCTGTGGAGTCCTTGGACTAATGGGAAGGTTTATTCTAGGGCTCAAGGGTGGTTTCCTAGGGCTCAGTGGTGAAGGCCTTGGGCTTGAAACTACCCTAGGGCTAAGTACATCAGTGTAAGCTTTTCTTTGTTTCTTGGCCTCAAGGCATTGTAACAGTTGCTGCAACTCGTTGATGTAATCCACCACACCTCCAATTATTGATGCTTGGTCACCCTATACCATAGAGGAGGAACAAGTTAGTTAGCCTCGAGTATCACTTCATAAAATCACAATATGCATATGCCATCTAGAGGAATTTTCCAAGAAAACGTATCTATACATAGTATTGTACGGATAGCGTCATCATATATGGACACTTCTATATAACTATTGTTTATCTTCATTTTTGTCTTTTTATCACATGTTATTTCTACACTTCTCTGTCTTTCTCTTTAGGTGTCATCTATATTATTGGAGTGTCCATTGATTATTTTCCATTTTACAATTAATTTAGCAAATACCAAAGCATTTTTTGCAGTTTCCCTAGTACAAGCGCACTTTCGTAATTACCCTTTTAGAGATTATCTTTTTTTATAGGCAAATAAAGAGATAATCAAATTCCCATTTAAAAAAAGTTTATTACAACTGGTCACTATCAATAGTGCATAAAATACAAAATCCTCAAAACAGCATAGGAAGTTGAGTTTATTAAACTTCTGAATGTCAAGGACATTTATTGTGGTGCAAATTAAAAAAAAAAGACAAGTATGCAAAGTAATGTACTAAACCAAGATAATGAATGAATTATTTTCAAATAGATAAAATCAGAGAAAGTATTTAGATTTTAACATGTGAGTGATGGTACGATAGAACAGGTTTCATTAGTCCAGGAAGACTTTTAAAAACTTCTACTGTACTAGAAAAAATATGTTTTTTTTAAGTTCTTAAAAGTTGTTCTAAATAAACCGTAATGAAACATGTTTTATAAGCGATGAATAATTATGACTTACCCGTTTGACATAAAAGGAAGGCATAAGTGACCTCAAGACAGACAAGTTCTCATTCATTAGCTTTCTTCGGTTGCGCTCCACAGTTATGTGAGACATCCTCGGTGGTTCCTCAGGCGATGTGGGACCAAGCTTTTGTCTCTTACTTTTGGGTGAGATTTCATGCTCAGTTTCAGAATCTTGTGGAGCACAAGCACTTGAAGATATTGAGACCTTTTGGGAGCTTTGCTCGTTTTCTTTCGAAGTTGGGCTAATAACAGCATCATTGTTGATGGGAGGAAAATCGCTCAATTCTTCTAGGCTCTCCAAAATGGCAAAGAGATCCTCTCCAACACCCAAGTGGTGTTTCCCAAATTCTGTGTCTTTGAAAATATCATATAAGCTTTCATCTACTAATGGACTTTTTGGGTTCTGACTATTCATTTTTCTACTAAAACTACAAAGTAGCAGAAAATATGGAATGAGTGGGGAAGAGAGAGTGTGGAGTGAGGAATAAAAAACAAACGTTGTGATGTGAAAGATACTAAACGGGTATCACATCAGCATCAAGGTGTGAACTAATACTAACACTGATTGAAAATATGGTTTTGTGAACGGTGATCAAGGCAGTGCAGTAGTGGTGCACTGAATCTCAAGATGGCAGAAGGCAGAGCAGAAAAGCAGTATCATCAGAACGCTAAAGTTTTCAAAACTTGAAATTACAATAAATATTGAGAGACGTTAGAAGGAAAGAGAAATCAAGGGAGGGAGATGCATGGGAGGAAGATATGGGTTTTATATAGTGGTAGTAGTAATGCTTGAAAATATGTGTGGAAAATTATCGACAAAGGTTAAATTTATACTTTAAATTTGAGGTGCATAAAAGAAAAGAGTAAAAACAAAAACAAAAATATAAGGAAATTCATATATATATATATATATATATGAGAGATCAAATACATATAATGGGGGCACTTGCCCCCACCACCATTTTAAAATTTTACATAATATACATACTTTTTTATCCAGAAAAAAATAGTATATTTTAAAAAAAAAATTATACTCTAATAAAATAAAATTATATATATTTAAATTATTGTATATATAAAATTTAAGTTTGGCTATTTATTTAATATTTTTTTTAAATTTTGAAAAAGATTAATTTTTATATATGATAAATAATATTCTTTAATAACGAACTATTTTTTTTAAAAATTTAATTAATATATATATATATATATTATGTTCATATATATAATATAATATATTAAAAAAATTAATTTTTGATAAAATAAGACTTGTAACATATATTTACATTTGGTGCTTTTTATTTATTGTATACGTTAATTAAAAAAATTAAAATAGTAAAATCCGTAAGATTTATATTCTATTTAGAATTTTTATTATAAAAGATGTTTTTAAAATTATCATTTAAAAATTTATATTAGATATTAAAAATATTTTTATATCATAAATAAATTTAATTTAATTTTTATAAAATTTAACATATTTATTTTAAAATTTTTATTAGTACTAAATTATTATAAAATAGGTCTTTTAGGATTGTAATTCTAATCAAACATTAAAAAAATGTCTACGACAGCTAAATAAATCATATTTATAACATGTATTTTTAATGAAGATTAAATTCAGACCTATTAAATTTTAAATAATTTAGTCTAACATAGTTTTAGTCGTAATCGTAGATATAAAAAATTATTAAAAATAATTATAATATATATTTATACTTTTAAAAGTGATATATAAATTTTTTAATACTATAAATTTTTTAACATAATGCTACATATATAACACCCACAAAAATAGTGATAAAAGTGAGATATCGGAATGATATAATCATATATGATGTAATAGAAAGAAGAAGAAAAATGTTATTTAGTATTTTAAAAAGCGAAATGTTCAAAAATCATTACTATAAAGAGGAAAATAGCAATAAATTATTATTAATACACTTATTTTTATCCATTAAAATTTATTAAAATTATAAAAGTAGGAAAGTGAATCATTAAATAAAATGTAATATCAAATAAATTATATATTTTTTAATAAATTTTAATAAATTAAAAAAATGTATTATTATAATTTTTTTATTACAAAATTAAAATAGATGTCCACATACTTTTCGTTGGGCTAGTGCAACTATTTTTTTTTCTTTAACAATTGATTCTAGTCAAAAGTTAAGAAATTAGAAAATATATTTTTATTAAAATTTATAGTAGATTTTTCATTTTAGTAATATTAGCTATTATATTTTAAATAAAAATTATAGTTTAATTTTTTTGAATGATTAATATCTAACGGCGAATGCTAGCATTTTGTTGAGTTAGTTATTTCACCCCTACAAGGACTGCTAATGAAAGAGACAAGGGTATGATCACCAATAAATATATTTTGTAATTAGCAACAAAGAAGACAGGTCGAGGATGCATGATTGCGTATCCACATTAAAATTGTCATTCATAAATACTTCTACTATCATTCATTGATTCTTCAGTGAAATATTTTTGAAACGTTATGTTACTGAAATTTAAATTTTTAAATGACTCTAAATATTTTAACTTGAGTGAATGTACCCTAATTGGATATATTTCACTTTGAAATTATTCGACCATTTCCCCCTTCTGTGGATATTCTAGTGTTATGGATTTTTGTTTATAGTACAATAAAATTATTATTTATTGTAAGTAATTGATTACATAAGTATTAAATGATTTTTAAAAATTTTAAAATAATTATTTTGCATTTTTATTTTCAAATTTTTAACCTGCTAAATCACTGTTGTGAAAGAAAAAAATCCTGTTGAATCACAAATTAGAAAAGAAAAAAAAAACTGATCTATATAAAATATATAAATGATTATACTTTCATTGCGCTGTTTCTAGTCATTATTATAAGTTTCAACATTATACATAGACATTTTGTTGGCAGTTCGATGAAGATAAAATAAGAGATCTCCATCACTAAACTATACAATGAATGGCCAACGAAATCGTTATTAAAATAGGACACATTTGTCAATATTACTTTATTTTCATTTTATTTAAATTTTTCAAAGAAAAAAGAATATAAAATTAAGTCAAACAAACTTAGTAAATTTTAAGCCTAAAAATAAGTACTTCAACATAATTCAATTGATCTGTTAGATTGATAATTTTTTTTTAATCACTTTTTTTTTCTAAAGTTTTGGTTATTAGACTATCGAATTAATTCATTAAGACATAACATGTTAGACACATTTAATTTTTATCTTTTTATAAAAATAATTCAATTTTTATAATTCAGTTCAGTTTTATAGTTCAGTACAGTTAACTTTCCAACAGTTCATTTCAGTTTAATTTTTTTTTAAAACAGTTCAGTTCAGTTTTTTTACAAACAGTTCAATTTTTTATAGTACAGTTCAGTTTAGTTCACCACCAGTTCAGTTTAATTCAGTTTTTTTTTCCCACCCCTAAATAATAATATTCTTTAAGTGCAAAAGGACAAAATAGAACACTAATTTAGTACATGTAATGCGAGGAAGTCATAAACACGCATAATGTATGAAAATGTTCGGTAAATTTGTTGCATGTCGATCTTTCTCTCTTGCTTGTTCTCTTTATAACCCATTTTCATTCAGAACTTCAGCAAACAAATTTATGATAACCACTAGCAAGTATTCATCAAAGATATTGTTAATTTATTATAATTTAAAAATTAAAAATATAAAAAAGGTCTTAATATAAAAGAATTAAAAAGTAATTAAAGTTTATATTTAAGAAAATAATTATATAATTTAAAAGTAAAATTAAAAAGTATTTCATAATTTTAAATTTTAAAATATCTAAATGATAAATAATATTAAAATTATGCATCCAGGAAGAAAATGAATATTATTATTTTATAAGATAAATTTTGACACTCAAGAATAGAGATTATTTCTTTTTGTCCACATACATTATTCACACAATGTATCAAAGTTTAAAATGTTAATCTATATTCACAATACGTAATTTTTTTTTGTTGACTAAGCATTATTTCAAGAATAAAGATTTAAATTTATAATGTAATTATAATATCTTCTCACATCATGTCATCATAAATATATAAGTTAACCATGGTGTGCATTAAAACCCTATCATGTTATATATGTATCATGAATATATAGTCGTAATTAACAAAAGTATGTGAAGGGTCATCAATATATTTAATTGGAAGGTGATGTGGTTAAGAGGAATGAGAAGGCATGAAAGGGGGCCAGATATGACAGTGGAACAATTTAAAGAGAAGGTATCTAGCTAGGTTACCTCCTTTATGGGGAAAAAGAACAAATGACAGTTGCTGCAAGGGAAAATTAAAAGTAGAGAATGTTCTGCATGAGATCTCACTATATACAAATACCCCGTCACTGAAGGCACTGCAACATATATAATTCCGGAGGCTGTCGTGTATGTGTTGGTCACTACTTTCCTAACTGAAAAGCCAGTAGTCATCATCAGTACACATTCATGCCTAACATCCTTAAAATGCAAAAACATCATATCGTGCATTCTTTTTCATTTGTCAACTCACAACATTAAATTTAAATTTCGAATAACAATGCTGTGAAACTGACGTGATATTCATCCATGTAGTTGTTGCTATATTAAACACATTTACTAAGTTTAAATGTATAACTATAATTCGTAATTACTCGAGCTAATTTATAATATATAGAATATAGTGTGGGGTGAGAAATATCCCTTCAACGATCAAATTAACATAACTCATATTAATAGACTACCTTGGATCTGAAGAATATGAACAATAATGTTGAGATCATGTAGAGAACAAACTACCCTAGAAACTTATACACTCTCATCATGAAAATTTGAGATTAATTTTGTCAGAATCTGGTAGTAAAATGTTATGCCATTTAAGTTAGGCTAAGCAGGTGGGTCTGCAAAAAAATAAAAAATAAAAAATAAAAACCTAAACCTGGCACGACAATTAGAAAATTATGCGATAAAATACTAATTCAAACAATTTTTTTTTTCTAAAAAAATTAAACAATTGAAATTTTTTCAAACCATTTTTTATTTTTTGACCAAAAAGTTTTGAAAAAATAAATATAAGTATAAGTTCACGTATCAATGCTTATTATAAGTCTTGTATAGAACTTTAACTTCAAATATTCTAGAAAATTAGAATATATGTAATTAGTATTAATTAAATTATAGTTCTGCTATAAGTAAGGCAATAAATCAAAAACTAAAATCTTTTACAATTCAATATACAGTCTAATTTTAAAATATTAATTGAGGCACACACACACAACTTATACGATTTTAAAACTTATTTATCTGATTTAGAACCACCTAACTTTGAGGGACACAAGGACCAATATTGAATTTGATAAGATCCATAACAAATATATAGTAAGTCATAATTAAAGTCAAAAGAACCATTTCTAAAACAAAGTGTTACTAGTTAACCTTATAGACCCTACAACTGATTGTCAAACCATGCAGCTGCCAAATTCGTTTTAGCATCTTCCGCTACAACAATCCACTATGATATGATGGAACAATGATCTGCTTCTGAAACCCCAAGTTCAAACTTTATATGATAATATGAGGGGTTGACATGTCTCCTTATGGGAAACTAAAACATATCAATCTTTTTTCCTAAATAGATTAGACTTTGTTGGAATCCAATGCCCCGTGTTTACTATATTATTATGCTAATTAATGTATTGCATGCATAAGCA